TTCTGGGTGTACTCGAGCATGGAAATGGTGCCTTGCTTCAACGATAGAAAAGCTAAACGCTGAACAGTCCAGTATTGAGGAGGCTCGAGCGCGAGTTGCATGCCTGCCTTCATATTATTCATGGCCAGGAAGTACGAGGCGACGGCGACGAGATTGCCGAGTGTCCACTCTTTGGCCTACCCCGCTAACTTGGTCAGGAGAAAACGTGTGTGCGCAAGTTAGCTGCCGAACTTCCACTGCAGTAGCCACTTCGCAGAAGCAGCGGCTCAGGTGGAGGCGACCGACGCCTTCACCACTACATGCAGACACCGCGTTTGACGATGTCGGACCTGTACTTGATCGACGTACTCGCTGACGAAGCTCAGCGAGTTCACACACCGTGAGCACTTGGACGGTCGAACACTACTTGCTATGTGACGGAGGCCCGTCACATGGAGCTTAATGCTCGTCCATTCCATTCCACCAAGTCGGATCCGAAGTGTTTGAAGCAATTTGCCTGATTTTGCGAAGGTTTGTGGCTGAAAGAATGCACCCGATGGCGACCCATATAAACGGAAGCAGTGAGCTCACTCAGCTAACAAAAGAAACAGTGGACTACGAACTCGCAACAAAGCGTTGTATTGATGGACTTTACATTGTCCAATATATGTAATACATTTTTACAGCTGTCATGGCGTAATTAAAAAATGCTAAGGGCTTGTTCGAGTTGAAAAAAGTGATTTCATTAAAATAGATATTTCGTCTAACTGCCTAATTTTAGCAGCTCAATCGAAAATAGCTACTTTGTGAAAAACAAGTAGCACCACCACCATTATGGAAACCAAGCATATCGAGGCATTTTATGTTTTCTGAAAAAAATAGATCAAAATGTCAAAACCTCAAGAAACAGAAGAAAAAAACCTCGCTGAAATATCTATTGGGAGCACGGTCTAAGTGTAATAGTTAACCCCTTGAACGCGAAGGTTTTCCAGTGCACCCATTTACCGAAACCCTTTCGACGTGTATGTCGGGGAAGGGTTTTAATAGCTAGACTGGTATAAAATTAATCCTGTAGGATGGATAAACGCATTGAATCCCAACACCTAGGATGGTGACAATTCGATATCGTGTATCCTACAAGAATATTTGACTCTGAGATACACTATAACAAGATATCGTGTCCAGGAACGTACAAAACCTGTTTACAGCGGGTGCAAACCCAGCGCAGACTCATTTTTTAGAAAATGGAAAGACGCACTTCAAGCGGGAAGAGAGTAGGTGAGACAACCCAGCATCCCCTTTTTATATTTCATTTAAAGTTTGTAAACCTTAATACAAACGTCAAGTCAAAATTCCTTATCGTGTATGGTCCAGGATAAGCTTTTTCTGATATCGTGTCTAATACAGGCCGTCGCGTTCAAGGGGTTAACCCCTCTGTTACCAAGGTCGTATCTTACGACTTCACAAAACTACAAAGTCGTAAGATACGACTTTCGCAACACCAACAATAGCAAATGGCTCGATAAAAATGTTCCATTACTTTAATCAAGTGTAATTTCTGCTCCAAAAGGTATAAGGTCACACAGGTCAAACTTGGATGTGCACAAAACGGGCGGTGGAAAGGGTTATGCGGGAAATGCTGATCCGTACCCAGTGATGAGTGGCTCCACGGTTCCAGACGTGCTCATTTGGAAATTGGAGCTCTGTCACGCAAGTGGATAGATGGCGAGGTTGCGAACGAGTACGGTGACAAAAGATGCTGCGGTGGCGCGTTCGGTAGACTTCAGGCATCTTTGGCGGCAGCTCCGCGCGGTCGGGTGGACGTCGAAAAGACCGACGCGGCTTGCTACGGAGTGGATGTACTTCGCTCCAAATCGTGACTCGCAGGAGCTGGTTGAAGGGACAAACATGTTCACTGGTAAGCAAATCTTTGGAAGGGTTTTATATCTAAGTACTAACTGTTAACATGCTCAAAGGCGAGGACGCGGTTGTTAGATATGCCATTTCGTCTGGGCTGATCAATCTGGACGAAAGCAGTGACGACAACGGACAGGAGTCAGATGAAAACGTCCGTCCTTCTCAAATTGACTGCTCTCTGATGTTGTCCGCGCCTACGCTGGATGCCCTGTTTGACGGCAGCAGTGATGCTAACGAGGAGAATGCCGGGCCTGATACAGGAGTGGCTGCACCGGCTGCGGACATAGCGCAACAGTTACCTGGTCAGATCGGGTTATCAGACGAAGATGTCGTTGTTGGTGCGTTCCAGCGAATGCTGTCGGAAGCTGAATCAGAAGGACATGTCCAGTTCTCGGACAACGAGAGCAAGCAGGATGATGTGGAACGTGTGGATACGTCTCCACCCGCTGTCCACGTTAGAGCGGACGATGTGAATGTACTACAAGAAGACGAACACTCCGATGACTTCGAGTGTATGGAATCTAGCACCAGCGATGATGGTGGTGATGACTGTGAAGAGGACGATGTGGTAGAGCGCAGAGAACTCCGCCTGCAGTCGTTCTCAATTCAAATGGCTTATCGGTTTCGAAAGTACTACAAGTCCTTATTTTTAGGCGTCCTAGATCTGGCGATCGTGAATGCTTTTATCACACACAAGGAGGTATGCCGGGCCGCGAGAATTGCGCCAATGTCTCGTGCTGCGTGGATGGCTGTCCTCCACAACCAGCTCCTGCAGTTAAAACCCGAAGATTTCGACTTGGATCCTATAGCAACTCCACAGTCATCCGCTCCCTCCAGGCGAAAACGTCGTCGCCTCCCACAGCACATCTACAAACAGTACGATGACTGGGTCATTGTGTCCGGCGTTCAAAAGCGTAGACAGCGTGCGTGTAAGGTATGCGCACTTCTTCGCGGTGAAAGAAAAAAATCTTTCCAGACGACATTCTACTGTGAAGACTGCTCCAGCGGCGAGGCCAAATTTTTCCTCTGCCCGAAAGCTCGGCGTGAGTACAATGGAATCGCGAAAACATGCTTCCAGATTTGGCATGAAGATTTTGAGTGTGGAAAATCAATTCCTGAGTCACTTGGGAAACGAGTTGTGTTTCGACGTCCGGCCAAGTTTGGAGCGCGCAAGAAAACACGCCGTGAGTTGTTGCGGGAAGAGGAGGACGATGCTGATGACGAGGGCGAAACTGCGTATGTAGCTAACGTTTGAAAACGCCATAAAACGGGGGTTTGATTGTAGTATCTCGAGTGTCGTTGATTTATGTAATTGATTTTGTACGTGGGTAGTACATTTCTTGAATCAGGCTTTAGTAGAAGTCGTAAGTTGAGACTTCTCTATGCGTTGGCGTTTAGAAGAGGTCGTAAGTATACGACATGTGAAGACCAAACACTTCAAAACTTTATTCACCATCGCAGATGTATCCTACGGCAAAAGGGGCGCCCCTATACAATAATGCTGTTATTAGGACGTCGTAAGTTACGACGTAACGTTTGCACGTTCAGAGACTCCATTTGCGGTATCAGAGGGGTTAAAGTAACCCTTTCAGGAGTTGCCCGTACGGGTATAGTTGAAAATGACCCCCGTGGACATGCTGCAGTGGAATGTGTATGTCCAAAGAACAACCGCATTTGAACAATGTTCATCGAGGTGAACGCATGATGACGCAAGGTGGGAAACAGGAATTTTGGCTACGAGGGCCCTTAAGTTACTTAATAAAAGTACTTCAAAGTATTGCCCTTGGAATGCTATTTGATTTGCTCATGTGACTTAGCCAAACGTTACGCAAACGAAGTCATGGCAGCGAAGCTTAGACAACAGACGAAAACACTCCCGTTCGCTGAAAAGCAGAGCCTCTTGCACTCTTAAGCCAACATGTCCCTCCCTCAAAACTGTTCCATGAGAAAGCCCGACAGTTCGAAGTTCTCATGCAGATGGAGCAGCAGCCGTATGCGTCAGCGCTTCTGGCGTTGCCAATTGTAGCACCATCATAGTCAACATTCTGCTCCATAGCGCAGCTAGGAGCTGGCGGGTTTGCAGTAGATTGTCCTGAAATTACGCCATCTCTCCGGACAGTAGCATCCTTGCGGTTCTTGAGCCAGCACGTGCCACCGTTCGTGTTCGTCCAGGAGAAAGCGCGACAGCCACCGAAATTCCTGCAGATTGAGCAACAACCACTGGCAGTGCTAGACTGAGCACTACCGATGTCGTTGCCGACATAGTCTACACCATTTTCTAGACCGCAAGTTGCAGTTTCGAGATAAGGAGAACCTGAGGAGGACCCTGCGCGAACAATCATCCGGCCCTTGGTCCCTTTCAACCAGCACGTACCACCATTTAGGGTGGTGAAAGTGTAAGCACGGCACCCTGGGGTATTGCTGCACACTGTACAGCAATCTGTTGCTCGAGCGGCAGACGCAGTCCCGATGTCATTACCCACGTAGTCGATGTTTTGTTCCTGCTGACACCCCTCATCGTTGCTCATGACCGCAGATCTTGCAGCTGAGTTGACGCTGATAGTACCACGGCCACTCTTGAACCAGCACGTTCCGTCGTTAAACTCAGTCCACGTGTACGCATTGCATCCGGGCCGGGTGGAACACGGAACGCAGCAATCCCAAGGAGTGGGGGCTGACGCACTGCCGAGGTCGTATCCACTGTAGTCAAACCCATTCTCCACAACACATTGCGGTTGGTTAAAGACGACGCCAGGCTCGAAATCGACTTGAAGCTCTCGCGAGGCGTTGACCGGCGAAGTGTATTTCGTTGCATCACCGGTCCAGCAGGCGATCACCAACAACGTACTGAGCAGCGTAATCTTCATCTCGGATCTCGGTGGTAAAAGCCAAAATGTGTTGTGGTGGGACTTATCCGTTTCGAGCCACGACAAACGACGATTTCGAGCACGTAGCATTACAGCATGCATGTAACGAGTGCGTACTGTGACTTCCTGCGATCGTTGAAGATGTCGTTTCATCTCTTTCCTTCCGTGCACATTCCGTTAGTGTTCGTCAACCCACTTGTGCTAGGGGTATGACCAGTTAGTCTTCCGTTAGTGCTAATGCGATTGCGCTAAGCTAGCTTCGAACGGTACATCGCCGTGTAGCGTAATGGTAGCGCGTTTGTAAGAGTTTAACTGAAATCTTAGTAGACCGTCATCAGACGTCTGCAACGGGTTAACTCAGCTTACAGAAAGGCAAATATCTTTTTACTTGTATACTACATGAAGAGCATAGCTGTATTGGCTGGCAGCAGGTACGAGGTGCATCGTGGCAGTCAATGGCTGCCACGATGCACTCGTACCAGCAGGGGTACGAGTGTGAGCTGTATAGAACCGGGCCACAAACAATGGCATGTAGGCTTTAGCAGAAAATAAATAGAAGAACGACACGAGTACATATCGAAATTTTTTTGGTTAGGACATTTTCGATACAAACTCAGCATCGTTATTGTCAAGCTGTATTGTTTGAATGATCATAGCAAATGATGTACTTGTGTTTGTTGCGGTACACGTAGAACATTTTTTCGCTCGACTGAGCTTGGATTTAAACTTTCGTTTTCAAGCTCAGTATTTTATTTTACATGAATGAAAATGATAATACTGTGGTATTTTGACCAATTAATAAAGTAGCCCCAATTTGGTGTATACTTACTTTTATACCTAAGTTCAAGATGTAAATGTACCATTTCGCTTTTTCAGACTGCACATTTTAGTGAGCACCTCTCAAGTTATAAGCGTTGGCGTGGACTGTGAGCTTAATCATCAATGATGGAGCCGGGTCGATGCTACGAAACTGAGCAGAAAAAAACAATTATGCTGTGTTTGTACATGTACTTCGACGGGTCGTGTCGCGACGCATTGGCCAGACTGCGACCGCATCACCGATCAATACACTCTCCACAAAGAGAATGCTGCATTTTTGAAAAGGATGTTTTAAACCGGCCATTGTCTTGAGTTACACAACACTACTTGGCTGGAGTCTTCTCTTGTCGGTCGAAAAAAACTAATTATACGCGTTAATTTCTCCCGTAAAGTAGAAATTTATGCAAACGCTAATCACAAAATACGGGTCATGGTTCAGCACGACTGAAGCGGCAAACACTGCTTTATGGAATCAGCTCGCCATACATTACAGCGCATGTAAGCCTACCACGACTTTAGATATAGATTCACCTCTTTATCGATCGCTTCGCTTCCTCCTCTGTCCAAAACACACGTGCTGTAATTTTCAACATATTTAAATAATTGTCATGGGTAAGCCTTCGTGTTTATTTACGCCCGCACCGCCACACAGCTGTTTGGTAAAGCACTAGCTTAGCGCTAAGCTGCTGCGCTTAGCGATCAAGAATTCGTTGTAGCCTTTCTTGTCTTTCTTGGCCCACAAGAGCTGATTCGGGAGCTGAAGTAGTTGGGCTTCAATAGTACTTGGTCTAATTCTAGTCTTCTTCCACCTGGTGAACTGCGCAGTCCGCATCTTCGTTGCTGCGTCTGCCACACTTTCCGAGGACTTGGCCGACTCAATCATTCTCGCCAATGTGGCGTCATCATAGTGCTTCAGCAATGTCTTGAGCATGATGGACCCTGCGCTCTTTTTGTTCAAGCTATTCACATGGATCGCCCAGAGTTTAAACTCATTGGTGCCAAACAGAGTTGTATGAGCTTCGAGTTGATAGCGAGTGAAAGCCAACTCCGCATTTTTTAAAAGTTTTGTGTTGGTAGTGAACAATTTTTCCATACCAAAGAGTGGGAGCTTTTCTCTCTTCAGTGCTGGCACCTTCAGTCGCCATGTTTCCCGTTCTCGAAGCGTAGGTTGCGGTGGAGCGAGCGGAGGAAGCGAGTGGCACTGCATGTGTCGATGCCAGGAAGGCAGCAGTAGCTAATTGTAAGATACAGATTAAACGCATGAATGGGTTAGTTCGTCCGGCGTAAAATAGCCTATGAGACGTCTCTCTAGATTGATCACCGTCAACTTGGCGGCGCCAAGTAATCATGTAATCATCTCACGTTCAAATCGAAAAAAAAACATCTGCTCTATTCTTGCAGCTCTAAAAAAAACATAGTGCATTATTCTTAGAGCCAAAATCTTTTATCTTTTACAATGCTTTTGAACACCTCAATCGAAATTTGACCATGCAGCGCTGTGCTGAGACGGCTAGCGAAGGCCATCCACGCCCTGATAATGCGACTGCTGATTTAAACAGGGTCTTTTCGGACGTCACCCTACGCCTCTGTTGGTTTCCACGCGTATTGCTGGCTCTATTTTGCTGCGATGGCGTTAGGTTATTGGGCTTACCGGGAACAATGTTGGATGTGTGGCTGTACCTGTACGGACTGAGCTTGGGCACTGAGTACGATCGAACCATTGCAGTCATACTGGGAAGTGTGGCGGCGATTGTGCTATCTGGTGTGGATGTTAGCCTGGTCTCTCCGAAAGCGTAGATTGGTGTTTGCTGTTTATGACGTCTTTCCACCCACAAGGACGGAGCCAATACAAGTAAACAACCGTCTTCGGATTCTCTATTGTGCAATATTGACAGGTGTCGGTGTTCTCAGTGTGGACAGCCCATACTTTGACCTGGTGCTCATATGCCGAGAGCTTGTGGAGACTGCTCTTCAGACGCAGCAAGCTTATCGAATGAGCCTACTGCTCCCGCGTACGCAATTAAACAGATGCTATATAGCATTGCTGGTTACAAATTGCTGGTCGACTGCGCTGATACACTCCACCTTTCTCCAGATATCAACGAAGCGCCGTTTCTACATAATTGTGTGCGATAGTGTGCTCGACATGGTGACTTCAGTCGGTATTTCAACGGTTTTATTAGCAATTTACGCGGCTGATTTCGACTTCGAACTAGGCGAATTCCCCAGTTACAAATGGTATGAAGACGTGTGGCTTGTGCACGTCTTGAGTGAATTTCAACTCATGCTGGTCTCCTCTTGGGGCGATCTGGCCATGCGACTTATCTTTTGCCTGAGTATGCTATGCAATATGGACAATATGAAGAAACTATTGTGTACGACAACTGCAAGTCCGGTATCGCCAGAGGAGAGAAAACCCAGTGTCAATCGTCGGAGGTCTTCAATTGTGCCCTACGTCACACCCTAACGTTACTGATGTGGAACATGCGTATCGAAAGAATAAGTTACAGATTCTGATAGAATCGCGAGTGCTGCAAGCACTTTTCGGCTTATGGGGAGCTGCTCTGTTGGCTCTCCATCTATACGCTGAGTCAGTATTGAGCGTTCTGCAATGCGCAATGCAAGTAAAACCTTGGGGGACCTCGATCCCAGCATGTTCTCTCTTCGTTTTGGACTGCCATGCGACTAAAATCAACGGCGCTACTGATGCCGTCTCAGCTCTGTGGAGTACGTTTGACCGCTCGACAACCTCAGGCTTGGTGATAAGGCACTGTCCTCAACTTGAAGTTCCTGACGCTTTGACCGAGTTTAACAGACTTAAACTACTGAAGTTTTACAATACTACCATTACGATGTGGGGGGACAGCGCTGCTATCTCACAAACACACCACCCCAGTCTAGTGATGCTGTTTCTGGTGCGTGTGAACGTGACAAATGGTGAATTACCGATCGGTCTACTGGCAAATGATTTCCCAAAATCACTTATGGATATTGAATTCTGTGTCACCAATTTACGTATTTTACCCGATGATCTGGATTTAAAATGGCCAAAATTTGGAACGATCTACTTTGAATCATGCAACCTATCCACAGTTCCTGCCTCGTTAGTTCGGCTTTCACCATACGTTACCTCTCTTGCATTAAATCCGATCTCGAGTATCCCTGAATCGGTATTGACAGATACCGCTGGCTACCTCCACGTGGGTGGTACGCTTATCACTGAGCTACCGCGGTCAGCAACTGTATTTCCATTTTTTAAGCTGCGAGTGGATCGCACCAATATTTCCTTCTTTTGGGACTGGATCGATCCAATGGTTGCCAAGGCAGGTCTGATGTACAACAGTCTTCCGACGGTATTAGCGACAGAGTCTCCGTATTGCGAAGAGTTGCAGCGAATTTTTGAAGGGAAGCAAACCAATTTTTCCACGACGTGGCGCCAAGGACAGTCAAGGATCTTGTCAGATGCGTCTTCAGGCAACTGGGCGACACTTAAAAAGGCCGTATCCTGCGGGGCTTGGACACAGACACTGTATCCTATTGAGTTTGAAGATCAGCACAGCAAGATCAATGCTGAAATGTAGCCATTGTGGGGTTTGAGATGCTTGTTTGCCAAGTGCCTTGTAATAAAATACTTCGTAGCGTATTAGAGGCTGAGTGTTGTTTGCTACTCTCAAATATAAATAACTTAACCCCTTGGTTCCCGGCGAAATGTATCGAAAACGAGATAAATAATGTCGTAACTTACGACATGTCCATGTCACTACTTGTTTGTATGTGGCATATGTTCGACGTGCGTATAGGTGTATAAGTTTTTGACAGGTTGCTCTCTCAGAAGTCGTAAGTTATACTTCTTAGTAGCTAGCAGAAAACACTGTATGTCGTAAGTTGCCCCACATTAGAAAGTACAGCGGGAAGATCTGCTGCACATCGGGGAAAAGTGGTGCACAGAGCTGTTTTATGAATCCAGATCAGTAGAATAGACAGAACAAAAAGTACAGATGCTCAAGGAAATGTGTATTACGACATGACAAGCGCCCACACTCTTTTGATGTCACGCTGGCAAGCCTACTCTTGTTCACTCTCATGTTCATCACCGCCGTCTTCCTCATCTTCACGAAGTCGCAACTCTCGACGGGTCTTCTTGTGCACACCTGCCTTCTTCCCCGGGCGTCGCAAGACAACTCTCTTTCCTAGTGTTGCAGGAATGTTTTGGCCGCAGTCGAAGTCGTCGTGCCAGATCTCAAAGCACGTTTTAGCTACACCCTTGTACTGACGTCGTATCTTGCTGCACAGCCAGCACTTTGCATCGTCAATAGAACAGCGTTCGCAAAAGTAAGTTGTAGCAAACGACTTCTTCTTTCGATCCGTGCGCAACAGGGCACACACCTTGCAAGATCGCTGGCGACGCTTCTGAATGCCCGTAACGGTCACCCAGTCGTCGGCCTGCTCGACAGCATGTGTCAGACGTAGTTGGGGGCGCTTTCGCTTCTGGCTGCTAGGTGTCGGTGTTGCAACAATACCAGCGAAGTCCTCCACTTTCAGCTGCAGTAATTGGTTTTGCAGGACTCCGAACCATTCTCCTCGCTTCATCACCGGCGTTCCAGCGATACGTGCAGCCTCTTTGTGCGAAATAAACGCATTTACAAGTGCCAAATCCACGAAGCCTAAAAAAAGGCTTTTGTAGTATTTCTTGAACTTCGTAGACTTCTGCAAAGAGTACTTTTGTAGGCGGAGTTGATCATGCACATCAACTCCGCCCATCCAACGTTGATAGTCTGTTACAGCCGCCGGGCAGGGCACGGTAATTGTACCAACGCGCTTGACGTTTCGTGTAATAGTCGTCTCTGTCATTGCCGAGCCTGTGCACAGGTAATGCACAGGTTTCCGGTCCCACCAGTGAAATGCAACCATATTTGGAATGGCGACAGAACGAGAAAACGTGAACATGCCTCGGGGAACGCTTGCTGGACGTGACTTGCGTTTCTCTCTGACATTTGCATCATATCCAAGCCGGTTGGTCATTATCGTGCCTATCACGTACACTTGCATGCCCAGTAGCTCGATAGCAAGTAGAATTGACGAATAGAAGCGGTCGATAACTACTGCGTGCCATGGAAGCCGGGTGTTGGGACCAAGCAATGTCTTCAAATTTCTAACGACTGCAGCCGCACCGGTCTTATGGTCAAATGTTGAATGCTCTCCATCTCTTCTTTTGCCCGCATACAGCTCAAATCTAGTAACATACGACATAATTGGTGAGAAACCAATCTAATGTCATAACTTACGACGTAAGTAAAAAAAAAAAAACCTGTGGCAGTACGCGGTCCTTGAATCACACACCATAAACATTTTCGAGCCATACCGATGAGGCTTATCGGGCATGAACATTCTAGTCGTGTTTCTTTTAGAAGTAGAAGGCAGAACACCCTCGTCAAAAGCGAACACTGCCGGGAGGGTCCAACGCAATCAAGAAACGATTCTGCATTGTCTCGACTACCATTCGCAACTTCCAGAGCCTGTCTCGCGTACGCTTCGCCTCGTTGTCCACAAAGTGCAAGTCGCGCAACATGTCTTGACATCGATTCCGGCCCATGAACCTTCCAAAATTACCTGCAGGAACGACCCCATCCTCCACCATCGACCAGTGAGCGGCAAGACGTCGCTTTTGCGGGCAGAGCATGCGCGCAATCAGGAGACCTATCACGTGTAAGATCTCGTGCGTCTCGTATCCCGGCTTTGCCTTCAAACGCCGACTAATCTGCTTAACCGTCTCCTTTCTCCGATCGTGTTGCTTTGCATGAATTCTTTCTGCACGTCTGGTGACTTGCTGAAGACCATACCGATTCGTCTCTGCAGCTATCTTGACCCATAGCGACTTGGGCATAAAGTAAAAGAATGTAAGTAGTGGAGAGTGGCAAACGTTTAGTAGCTCAGCGACCGGTCGTGCCTCTTCCATATTCAGACCAGAGTACGCTTCGACACCCTCCTCAAACTCGTGAGTGACTGGAGACCACTCCATTGAACGTAACGCGTTCTCACGTTGCTGCTTGGCTTGACTGTTGAGGGCATCACTGCCTACTTGAAGTGAGTCAATGAACGCTGCGTCCATTGGCACAGCGTCATCTTCTGATAGCTCATCCAATTCTTCAGGTACTTCACAATCATTGCCATTATCGTCATCATTGTATTCTTCAATGTCGTCATCACTGTCTCCAGAGCTAAAGCTCTCGTAGTCACTCAGGTCTTCGTCGTCAGTCACAAAATTTACATCCTTCTTGACAGGATGACGGGGGCGTAGGACAGGACAGGTCGGCGTAGCTGGGCACACGAACAGGTTGGGAAGCGTGCTTGCGTACGGGTTGGGCGTCAGGCTCACGTGTAGGTTGGGCGACGGGCACAGTGACAGGTAGGGCGGTCGGCACAGTTATAGGCTGTGCGGGCACTGGACTGTCAGGCGGGGAAGCA